AGAGGACTCCTTAGAGTGAAGGTCTTATGACCTAGTAGTAGAAAAGGTAGGTCAGAAAAATTTCATTATGACTAATATCTATACAAAAGGTATAGAACGTTTGGCAATATATTAAGAGAGTTTTTAAAAATGTTTTTAATTGAAATAGAATTACACAGCTCTTCATCCCTCTCCCCTTTTATATATTTATATTTATATTTATATTTATATTTATATATAAATTTTTATTTTTTATATTAATCACAGGCTATTTACTTTGTATTCCAGCTGTAGCCTCCTCCCTCACTCCCTCCCAACCCCACCCTCCCTACCCCTTTCCAAGTCCACTGCTAGGGGAGGTCCTCCTCCCCTTCCATCTGACCCTAGCTTATCCCCTTTTCTTTCAGAGAGAAAGATTTGTCCTTATGATTTTTAACTTCAGAAAGGGTGTTTCTACCTCTGTGACTCATTTTTGAGTAATTGGAAGGAGCAAAGCAACAAGCTGAAGGACTTTGCTTCTGAGGCCTCTTATGCCCCATTAGTTCAAAGCACACCGTAGTTTGTGGTTTTCTGATCGCTAACATTTCCTTTCTCTCTTCATTTACTAAATTTCTTGCCTAAAGGCTATGCCTCACTACCCAAACTCTCTGATTTAAATACAAATTACACCAAAGACAGAAGGAAACTCCAAACATTGAAAGAGAAACTAAAACTATTGTCCCAATTACTAAGCATTCCACTAATGAGACTTTTTCTTTGAGATCTCATGGCTTCTTTCACAGTAGAGAATCTCTGGGAAATGATTAAGTAGTGGTGCGTGGCAGCTATTTTGTCTAAAATGACAGTTGCATGTACTGAAGCCACCAGCTTAACAGAATAAAGAATGGGTGGATGAATAGGACCAGATCTCAAAACAAAGTATCTGAAATGACATTGAACATAGTGGGAACTGAATTGCGGCTGATAGAATAACACAAATGTACTCCAAATCCCAGGAAAACCTCCTGCTCCAGATTTCTTGAGAGAAGAAAAATAATTGAGATTTTAAATATACTAGTTGATTAAAAAAAAATAATAAGGTTTCTGGTAGTTTAGAAAATACCTAAATGTTTATTGTTCCATTAAAGCTGTGTAATATGAGTGAGACTGTTACTGATGCCCTGAAGATGTGTGTCCAGTGACTTGCAATTTCTATTTTCTGATTATCCTTGTAGTACTTGATAGAAATTCCCACAAAATTGCTGCCATCTCTTTTTTTTTTTTTTTCTGGTAGATTGTAATTATTCACTACAGTGGTGGATTCACTACAGTTGTAGATCGTAGTGAATAATATTGGCATGTGTGTTGGTGTTAGTCTCTACCACAAGAACATCATTCATTGAAATGGCCAATTCTGAGGAAGAAATTTGGAGCATAATGTAGGAAAAATATTTAGGATCAAATAAGAGAAGGAGACTTTTGTGGAGAAGATGCAAAATAAAAACTATAACTCTCTCTTCAAATGAAAAAAGGCAAAGCTTATTCTGTAGCAAAATATGAATGGATATAACTCAGGAATGCAAAACCAAATTGTCCAAAATAACATGTTTACAATGCACTTGTACTTCTGTGGAGTTTTCCCATAACAGAACAAACACAGTTAAAATTAGGACACTTTTCAAAGACATTGGTGGAGACATCCATTAGTTGGATTATAGCAAAATGAAGAAATCTCTGCTATAGGCTTCTGATGCTGCCGATGAGTTTCATAATTGTTGAGTTGCTGGATGCTATGGATGTGTACATCCAAAAGGATTCATCTAATAGTCATATAGACATTAATCAAATCAGAGGTGGCCAATAAATAACTACTTAGAGGCTAAGATAACCCAAGATAATTTGGCTCTGGACCTGCAATTTCCAACTCTAACCATATTTTTTCTTCTAATCAGCTAATCATTTGTGTAGAATGTGTAATGTAAGTACAACTTTTATTCCTTCAATTTACATTAACAAAGGAAAATTTTCTTCTATGTGGCTAAGTTTCTCCATTGTAGAACATGTAATAATTTGAGTAGCAAAAGAGAGACTCACCATAGAAAAGCACACAATTCTTTCAGCTTTACATATCAAATGTGTATGGGTGGCTTTTCTACTTTTGTTGCTGTGATAAAACACCATGGCCCATAGCAATTGAAGAAGAAAGATTGGTTTGACTTACAGCTTACAGTACACCACTGAGGCAAGCCAAGGCAGGAACTCAAGGCAGGAACTCAAGGCAGGAACTTGAAATGGAAACCACAGTCTATCATTGAGTAAAGCCAGAACAGAAACTCAAAGAGAAGCGGGTATAAGAGGGAAAGAGAAAAGCTGCTAACTGGCTTTTTCCTAGATTCATGTACAGATACATTTCCTACACGGCACCAACCCAACTGCTTAGAAATGGTGACATCACCGTGGGCAGGGCAGCCTCAAATCAATTAGCAAGCAAGAAAATGTGTCACAGACATACCAATAGGCCAGTGTGATGGTGGCAGTTCTTTAACTGAGGCTCCTTCTTCCCAGGTCTATCAAGTTGACAATGAAGAATGGCCATTACAGTGTTATACTTTGGGACAATCCATTCAATTGACCAAAGATACATATTAAGTCAGAGGGAGGAAGTACTGAAATGTATGCTAGCTGCTTCTGAGCTTTTGTTTCACTTTCCACAGTTTTAAGTTCCCGTGGTCAACATGAATTAAATAAGTATCATAAGCTTTTTTGACAGATACAGAGATGGAGAGACTACATTTCCCTAAATTTTATAACAACGTGTTGTTGCTATTCTTTTACTTTAATCTTTTTTCTGATTCTTTCTCTCTTTTTTTTTTTTTTGGTTATTACAATTTATTCACTTTGTATTCCAGATGTAGCCCTCTCCCTCGTTCCCTTCCAACCACCTTCCCTCCCTCTTTTCCTCCCATGTTTCCCCCTCAGTCCATTGATAGAGGAGGTCCTCCACCCCTTCCATCTGTCCTTAGCTTCTCAGATCTCATCAGGACTGGCTGCATTGTCTTACTCTATGGCCTGGTATTTTATTCTTAACTGTTAATTTTCTTATTTGTTTAGTTTACCCATAAGTTACCATTTCTCATAAAAGTATATGTACACATAAAAATTAAGTATTCATGGGGTTTTGTTCTATTGGTGATGTTAGCCAATAATTACTGGGCCTTAGCCTGAAACATAAGTAGGGCAGCAGTAATCTTCAAAAGTTTAAAAACATGACTATGGATCCAAGATTCATGTATGGCATTATTGAAGGCGCCAGAGCAGTACTAGTACCCGAAAAGCAGTAGGAGAACTTAGTACCCATATGTGTGTGTAGTTATTTGGGCTTTCAGATGTTGGTAGGGAAAGGGGGTTAGACAGGATCTCCAGTACTTAAGAAGGCCTCAATCTTGTTAAATGAGTAAGATGGCCTTGAACTTCTTCTCATCCTCCAGGTCCCACCTCCCCCATGCTATGATTTCAGGCAAGTATAATCATCCCTGGCTTATGTGCTACTGGGGATTGAACCCAGAACCTTATGCATGAATGATGGGTAATCTTCAAAGTAAGCTACATCTCCAGCTCATTTTTAATTTATTTTTTGAGTATTTAAAACATATATTGGCAAAAGAATTGTGCCATATATGTAAGCATTTAGTGTCTCATAGAATTATGGCATATCATTGAAATGATTTTTCTATAACTACAAATTAAACACTACAGATTTATACTACTACACAAAGCTACATTACAACCTACAATATAAAACCTATGGAGCTTTAAAATAGAAATGCTCAAATAAAACACATGCAATTTAATGTGGCTGCTTTGTCCATTGTATCCATTAACAATCAGTGTTACTTGAATTTAAAATGGAATTGATTAAAATGCAATGCATTGATGATCTATTTTCCCAGACGCAAAAGCTAAACTTAATAAACATGATGGCTACTTCATTAAATAGATATGAAATAAGTTTTGTCCTCATAGTGTGACATGGTATTGGACTATAGAGAATAAGAATCTTTGATTAAGCCATTTTATTCTTCCTTTTGTTCTCTTCAGTGCCTAAGAATGCCACTGAAGAAATCTTTCACTTCACCTTGGCTTTAATGAATAAATTTTGGGTACCTTCCTCAGGCAAAGCTATCATAAAGCATTTTTTCCTATAATTTCCCCTATAATCTTTTCTATTATATTTTGGGTTTTGTTGTTTGAGAATTCTATACATGATTACAATGTGTTTTGATCAAACCCATCCCCATCCCTCTATCCCCCAACTTAACCACAATGTCTCCCTTCCCATTCCTGTTGTAGTCTGTTTTTCAACCCTCTAAGTCCACTTTGTGTGTCCCACCTTCGTATGTTCATGGATGTAGTACCACCTACTGGAGCATGGCTATCCTTTCAGGAGCCACATACCTAAGAAACTGATTTACCTTACAAACGAGCCATAAGTTTTCAATAGCCTCCCAGATTCTAACATTTCTTTATCGGAGTCTGTTTCCATCCTTGCTGGAATCTGGCCTGCCTTGATTCTGTACAGCTTCTCTGGGTTCATTGATCGGTGGCCACACCATGCTCATCAAGAACTAGTTTGCTGCCGAGTCCAGGTGTCTGATTTTCCAAAGCATCTTGCCCTTTTCTTCAATGATTCCAGAGCCTTTAAGGAAAGGGCAGTGTAATAAATGACCATTCTAGAACAGAGAATTGCCACAACCCCTCATTTTCTGTAGCAGTAACTGCTTGTGGCTCTCTGCATTGATAAACATTGTATTAGTCAGAGTTCTCTAGCGTCACAGAATATATTAGATAAATAAATAATATTATGTATAGTATGCAAATAATACATAGTATATTATATAATATATACAGGGTTTATTGGAATGACTAAAGAAACCACTTTCATTTTAAGCTGTTCTTTGTAATGGCTTGGCCAGACGTCTGTATTCTGGATATGATGCAAGGTTTTCATCTGTGATAAGTTACTCTGCCTACGTGTTTTTCAGATGTGGAACAAATGGCAATTGACTGGCTTGCCAGGAACTTCTACTTCGTGGACCATGTCACTGACCGGATCTTTGTCTGTAATTATAATGGTTCTGTGTGTGTCACTCTGATTGAACTGGAGCTTCACAGTCCCAAAGCCATAGCAGCAGATCCCATCGCAGGGTAAGAACACCGCCTTCCGCATGACATGTCTGGAAAAAGGTCCCCTTAAAAAGGGATCCAAGACCAACATAAGGTTTTATAGGAAGTAAGACATTAACATTATTAAAATAAGAACAAAAGCACAATGTTGACAGTAGTGCCAGCATTGTAGAAAGAAAAATAGGCTTTATATAAAGGGATATCACAGACCTAGCCTAAGGCACCACAACCTTCTCCTTACCCAAATTTGCTTGTAGTCTCCAAGAACCTCAGTGTGGTCATGTCAGATTCAGTACAGAGAATTTTGGTGCTTAGCAAGGAACCTTGGAGTTAGCAAATTTCACAAGGGCTTCTTGAAAGAAACACTGTTAATCTACTTGAGTCAGCATAGCATTTAGGATTTATAAACAAAATACAATCTGTGTTCAAGGGTACTGCAACATTAAGACATCTTTGTTCAGACTACTTTTCCAATAAATATTGATATTTTCCCCAAATAATATTATGATATTAATGAACTCTGCAGAGTCTATTTATACATTTTTGCTTTTTAATTTGTGATTCACTTTATTGGTTTAAAAACATCACTTATAAAGACGTTCTTTCAAATAACAGAATCATTAATCTTTTAAAACAATTTCACTGCTCGCTAAAATATTCACAAATGTTTAAGTTCCTATCAACTTTGTTCATATATTGGAAAAGCTATATAAAAAATTCTTATAATTTGTAAACATGGCAGTATAATTAGAAAGGAGAATAACAAAGAGGTACAGTTCCCAGATTCACCCGTTCACCAGTGTTAGCCAAAGAGACTGCAGGATCAATGGCACAGAGTGTTTCTTTAGTTGAAAGGGCTGTTGTTTTGAATATGTAAATTGTAGCAGATTGGAAAACTGGAACTTTCTTCTTACTGTCATTTCAATAGTCCTCAGGCAGTTCGGCTGAAATGTCTTATGGAACTTATCCTAAACTGCCATAAGCCTCCATTCAATAAAGGGGAAAATATTTACTGAAGAAACAGCTGTCATCCATATGTGGACTTTTGTCACTCTTTACTTAAAGTCTGATTGAATATTAAGATGCATCATCACAATGGTTCTGATTTTGACAAGAACAGCTTGCACGTAAGAACTTTGCTATGAAGCCCGTGCAACATAATTCTTGAATGAGGCTCTATTTGTGTTTGTAACAGATGGTTACTTGACTGCAGCAATGCTTCAAAAGGCATTAGTAAAAGAAGCTGTATTTAAACTGGTTTGTTTGGGTGGTTGGATAAGGGTAGTAGGAAAGAACTGAGATTTACAAATGTGCTCACAGCATTCCTTTGGCATTCTTTTTAGAAATGTATGTTTTTTGCAAGCTCCCCCCCCCCTTCCCCGACGGTGCTAATTGAATCACAAATTGGCCTTCAGATAGTCCTGTCTGTCTATATGTTCAGAGATGAACCTGCTGTTTTCCTCCTTTTTACTCATCACATCCTTTGCCTTTCTTAAAAACAAAGACCATGTGACACTTTTCAGTAAGGCTGCCAACTGAAATGTAGCATACTATGAATGTCATCTCTCATTTTTAGCAACAGCATACTTTATGTTTGCAGTCAACTTATTTCTCACTGTCATTACAAGAAAGAGCCATATTTTGTCATTTTGTCAACCGAATTAGAAGTAGAAAGTCCCGCTCTGTTTGCACACATTCTCTGATGGGTTCCTTGGGGCCTTGTAACCGCTTTAAATGTAATTTTGCTGTGTGTCATTTGTCAGAATAGATGCTCTGGTATTTTATGTACAGTTTGACTCTCACTAGTTTTCAGTCATGATCACAGAACTGCTCTATTAGCATGTGAGTAGGAACAGTTTGCAGCTGAACACTTCAGTTCAGCTCTGCTTGTGTGTAAACACCCTAATGGCTGAGAGTTCAGTGAAGCTTGAAAATAAGGCAAAAAGTCTAGGACTTGCTTTGTAGAGAATGTCTGTACATGAATAGAAAAATATGTTATTAACATTTTATTTATTTATTATTTAATTATAAATAATTAATTCTAATTATTCAGGGAAATACACCTTTCCCTCAGAATGATGTTTTTTATTGTTCAGAGAAATCAGAATATAAGTCTATCTCAATCATTGGACCAGACTCTCATGTCCTGACCTAAAGAGCCTTGCAACACAATCAGAATGTCTTAATGTCCCAAAGGCCACATAGAAGGAATTCCACTCTCATGGCTGTGTCTGTGACTTGACTCTTTTCACCCTCTTTTTCATTTACATATCACAGATGTTCTAAGATTAGCAGCATTAACTTTTGAATTTTATTTTAGTTTTTTAAGATTTGAATTCAGAATACTAATGTTTTGTGGACTCTCATTAGTGCTGGAGTCAGTCTCAACACAAATATGCCAAAAAAAAAAAACAAAACAGTGTTTTTAATGATGCTTGTATACTATCTTAAATTTTTAATTACTTACTTTAACTTATTATTTCAGGCTGTTTTCCAGAGAGACTTCTTAAGGCTTCATTCTGCTTTTCAAATTTTCAGTGTTATTTCCTTGCAATGATTCTTTGAAAATGACCTATCAATTCTTGCTGAGGAACTAACAGAGGTGGAATGTGGCACAAAGGTCATGCAACCAACACCAAAAAAAGTCAGTCTTTCAGGTGGCTTCTACACTTCTGCTTGTTTAATGATCAAGAACTATATATTACCTCACCAGAGACCACATCTCAGATTCTCTTTGTGCTGAACAGTCTCCTCAAAGGACATATTTCATGTGGGCAACAATTATTTATAATAAGGTATTGAGGAATGTGAGACAAATGGGAAAATGAGATATCTCTTAAGAATGAAAACAAAGTGGGCTGGGGATACAGATGGAGAAAAGCAGAGCAGCTGTGGGCATCAGAATGGAAGAGGAAATATTCTCATGCATTGCTGCATTCATACGTCCTTTGATTTTAAGTTTTATTAAGCTACAAAATCTTATATAGGATATAAGGATTTTGATAACTTCTTTCTAGTGTAGATTATCAAAAAATAATCTGTTCTGTTTCACTTTTCTCTTCTTTTATCGGGAACAGTTTTTTATACAATGTTGTAATCACTCCTCTTCGCCAACAACTCCCAGATTCTCTGACCTATTCATACACCCAAATCAAAGACAGACAGTTCTCTCTTTTTCTCTCTGTCTGTCTGTCTGTCTGTCTGTGTCTGAGACAGGCAAACAAACAAAAACTTATTAGGAAATGTTTTTTTTTCCTTTTTTAATTTAATTTTATTTACATGTTTATTTATTATAGTTTATTCACTGTGTCCCTGCTATAGCCCCCTCCCTTGTCTCCTCCCAGTCCAAGAGAAAAGCACATAAATGTGCTGATTATTTTCAAAATAGCATAGGAGTCTTCAAAAAACAGAAACCTGTAAATTTTATTCTATATTTGAAGAAGGACAGCTCTACTTGTGGGTTGATTGAATGCAACAAAAGAGGTTGATGGTGATGAACAGGTCAAGGGTAATTCCCGTTTCTTCAGGGTTTGTTTTTTCAAAAATAGGGAACTGAACTGAAGTAACTGAGAATGTCCGGGTTTTTTGTTTGTTTGTTTGTTTGTTTGCTGTTTTTTATCTTCTGATATCTCCTCAAATGCTAAGGTTCTATCTTGTGAGCTAGCATTATCTGACCCTCACCAAGGAAGAAGAGAAGAGGAAACTACCTTTGGACAATTGTGTAGACATTTATTTGCATTGACTTCATAATTTCCAGTACAAAGGAATAAACAATAGGATTTCATCATAGTGAATTGTATCTCTGTACACTATTGGGGAAGGATTGCTTCGGTGCTACGTAGTAACTGGGTTTGATTGGGTTTAGCAGAGATCAGGATTGAGACAAGTCTGATTGTCATTCCAGTTTGTGTCCTTCAGATTCCTATTGAGCAATGCCCCTTCACACCAGACCTCAGACAGAGACGAATTTCACCGTGATGTGTAATTGTTAAAATGGTACTGAATGGGAGTGTACCAAATAACCTAAGAGCACGTGGCTATTAGGAAAACCACGTACAGTAAAGAATCATCCCAATCTACAACCTTTACTCACAGAGTTGAGGCCGAAGATGGTACTAACGTTTCCATGAGTTTGAGCTTAAAAGAAGTTTGTGAAGGGCAGACTCTGTGCCATAGTCATTGTAGGCAGTGCGCTCATCTAGAAAACATAAATTACATAATGTTTGAAATCTTACAAGCTGAGCTTGCACGTTATGATCCCTCACTTTGTAAGAGAAGGCTATACCTACTATATCTATTAGAAAACTAAAGCATCAACTTCTCTTCTTAAAAAGTTTAAATCGTTATTATTATTATTTATTATTTTTCAATTTGTATCCCAGTTGTAGCCCTCTCCCTCATCTCCTCCAGGTCCCATCCTCGATCCTTCTTCCTCCTTTATTCCTCTTCCCTAGTCCACTGATTAAATTTATTCACAATTCCAATACAGTCGTAGGCTCTGACAGTTTTCCACAACTGAAGGGTAAATCTTTGTTTAACAATAATATCTGTCTCTTTGTTCATTTTTGAAAAAGTGTTTAAAAATAATTGCATGCATCTGATAAGCACAATGGAATCTGATAATAAAGATGCAGAATATAGTGATGAAATTGTGTAATTAGCATGTCTTGACTGTTTATTATTGTCTCATGTTCAGGGTATTCAAATGTCTGTCTTCTAGCTATTACGAAATTATACAACTATATAATTAGTATAACTGTTATTGTAGTTCCCCCCAGTACTATAGAATATGAGCATTTACTCCTTTATATAATGGTAACTCTGACCCAGTAACAAAATATCCACTTCCCATCAATCTTTTTGGCTAGAGGAAGCCACTATTGTCACCTCTTCCCATAAATAATCAAATTTCAGCTTCTGCATATGAAAGAAGATATTTACTATTTGTCCTATTACTGGCTTAGTTTATATATTGCTTTTACAACTCACACGTGTTTCCACAAATTTCAACATTTAATTCC